TCCTCAAGTGGCCACAACGGCCAGAGCAGATCCGAAGCTAGGAGCTTCTGGGTCTCCTTACAGGCACAGGGTCCCAAGGCTTTGGGCCATCCTTGACTGCTTTCCCAGAAGCAGGGAGCCGGATGGGAAGTAGAGCAGCTGAGACTTGAACCAGCATCCATATGGGACTCCCGGCACATGCAAGGTGAGGATATAGCCAGTGACCTATTGTGCTGGCACAGACTTATTTATTTGAACATCTGTACAGAGAGGGATAGACAAGACACATATACACACACACAAGAAGGGAGGGAGGATGGGATAAATCTCCCAACCACTGATTTACTTTGCAAATAGGTCCAACAGCTACTAATGGACCAGGCCAAAGCCAGGAGCTGCGCAGTTCAACCAGGTCTCCCAAGTGCATATTAGGAGTCCAAGGACTTGGACATTGCTTTCCGAGGCTACTAGCAGGGAACGAGAGTGGAACTGAACTGCAACTGCAGCGGCCTGAACTTGACCCAGAGCCCTTTTGGGATCCCAGCCTAGCTGGCAGCAGAGGCATTATTTACTACATTATAACACAAGGCCTGGTGTAATAATATTTTTAATCCATAAAATATTTCTGTAGTACACATTTTGTACAAACATTTAAAGACCCATGTATATTAATTTAACACCTACATTCCTGTTTTTGAAAATTTCTATGTTCATTTCATTTGAAAAGCAGAGACAGAGACAAGAGATCTCTTTCACCTGCTGGTTCACTTCTTAAATGCCTATTACAGTCATTACACTGAGGCCTGGAGCCTGGGAACTTCAATATGAATCTCCTATGAGGACAACAGAAATAATAGTACTTGAACCATCAACTGCCACCAACCAGGGTGTGCAGTAACGGGAAGCCAGAAATCAAAGCATTACTGGTACTCAAACCCACAGACCACAATACAGAAAATAGGCAGCCAAAAGCAGCATTCCAACTGCCCTAAATGCTCACCCCTCACATCTAAATTCCTAAGTTAAATCGTCCTACAGTTTTAATTTTTTGTGAACTACAGTATTCACACTTTTTGTTTAGTAACTATACAACAGGGTGACACTCCGGCAAGTCACCTTCTACCCTCCTAAACACTACCTGTTCCTTATATCTTTAACTTTGATTGAGACTGTGATATAAATTAAATCTTGCAATATCGAAACACTTATTTTTTCCACTCATCATAATTACTCTGCAATACATCTGTGCTACTACAAATATTTATACTCCCCCCCCCTTTTTTTTTTGCCGAGTATAGGTCTAGGCTAAGTATATACAACAGTTTGTTTCACATTCACTTACTGAAGGACATTTGAGTTGCTTCTAATATTTGGTATTATAAGTGAAATAGCTATAGCTATAATATTCATGTACAAGTTTTTTTCTATTCTCTGGGATAAATGCTTGAATGAGCCACTACAGCATCATATGGTAAGTATTTCTTGAAGAAACTGTTACATACTTTTCCAGAGTCACTACACCATTTAACTGCCCATCAGCAGCAATGTATGAGTTTTCTATATATTAATCAGCATTTATTATCATTTTTTAATCTTAACCACTCAAATAAATGTATGTGTCTCTGCTCAGAATTTGATGTCAGCATTGCTTGATTTTCTTATGTCCTCTCCCTATGTTTTCCCCAGTTTTCACTGGCCCTCTCCATATTCTCTGACAACCCCATTCTTAATTTTTTAAAAAACTTATTATATATTTCATTTTTTAAAAAGATTTATTTATTTTTGTTGGAAAGTCAGATTTTACAGAGAGGAGAGGCACAGAGAAAGATCCTCCGTCTGCTGGTGCACTCCACAAGACATCAAAAGGGCTGGAGCTGAGTGATCAGAAATCAAGAGCCAGGAGCTTGTTCTGGGTCTCCATGTGGGGTGTACGGTCCCAAGGCATTGGACCATCTTCCATTGCTTTCCCAGGTCACAAACAGGGATCAGAAGCAGACCAGTTGGGACATGAACCAGTGTCATTATGGGATCCCAGCACATGTAAGGCGAGGATTTAGCCACTAAGCTACTGTGCTGGGTCCAGCTGCATTCTTCTTCTTCTTTTTTTTTTTTTTAATGCTTTCCAGGTAACAGAGCTCACATGTGAAAATTTTATCAGCTGAGTGTTTACTAATAATGTACCGGTACTGGGAAAACAACAGACTTAACAGAAGTGGTACCTAGGTAGTAGAAATCACTTTAAACATACTCTGAGGGCCTGGCGTGGTAGCCTAGTGGCTAAATCTTCACCTTGCATGCTCTGGGGTCCTATATGGGCATCAGTTCCTGCCCTGGCAGCTCCACTTACCATCCAGCCCCCTGCTTGTGATTTGGGAAGGCAGTGGAAGATGGCCCAAAGCCTTGGGACCCTGTACCTGTGTGGAGAGTTCAAAGAAGCTTCTGGCTCCTGGCCTCAGGTCAGGTCAGTTCAGGTTGCTGCAGCCACTTGAAGAGTGAAGCAGTGGATGAAAATCTTCCTGTCTCTTTTCCTCTGTAAATTTGCCTTTCTAATAAAATTAATTTTTAAGAACTTTGAAAAATGAATTTATAATAAGCAGTTGTTACAGTGATACATTTAAATCTAAATCATTTTTATTCGCAAAATGGAGAAAAAATGCTTTTAAAGTACATTTAAAAAAATAGCTCTTGTAGGGTGGACTATGTCAGCCAATGGATTCTGCAGCGATTTCATCGTGCTTGGAACGGCAAAACTAACAGCAATTCAGAACTGTTGAATTATCAAAACCACTTGAGCAGGAACCTTGGAGCATGCCTCACATTGGGGACCTGGGACAGGTGGGAGGCTGGGTGGGACTTCTCCCTTTATCTCCTGTCTTATCCCAGACACAGAAAAAAATGATAATAATAATAATAATCATAATGTGGAAACAACAGCTTTACCCACTTTCCTGTAGCCCTTGACCTTTTGTGCCCTAATCAACTATGTAATTATCAAAATAAAATAACTGCAAAAAATAGTTCTAACAAGAAAAAATTGAAGATGACAAATAATGACATTTGCACACTCTTTCTACACATATAGTTACAGCATTAATATAAACTTGGGTTAATTATCTTCATACTTTCTCTTGCAAATATTTATTCATCAACCGCTTGCAGTACACTAGATATTAAACAATGAAAACATAAAAATACTATCAATTGTCCAGCAACAGACTTATTTAAACAAGCCATTAAGAACAAATGATTTGAAGTATCAATTGTATTCAGAACAGAGCTAGGAGCTTTAGGGCCTAGGATAGAAATGGACGTTATGCTTCACATGAAATAGGACATATAGCATACATTAGAATGTGTTTCCCAAAAAGTGTTTCCAAAAAGAGTATCTTTAGTACCCTTGCCAGACACTTATTAAAATATGCACTTACTGGATCAGGAGTCCACCTTGAGAAGCTTAAATGAAGGTACCGGATCCATGGCTCAATTAGTTATTCCTACACCAGCAATCACCAATTCACATTCTGCTGCTCTACCTCCTATCTGCTTTGCTGATTAGAGCCTGGAAAGCAGAAGAGGATGGCCCAAACCCTTGGGCACTTGCACCCAAGTGGAAGATTCAGAAGCTCCTGGCTCCTGGATTTGGATCAGATAAGCTCCATCTGCAACAGCCATTTGGGGAATAAACCAGCATATTGAAGATCTTTCTGTCTCTCCATCTCTCTATAAATCTACCTTTCCAATAAAAAAAAAAGTTCAATGGCCCTGACTCGTGTCCTGGCTGCACCATTTCCCTTCCAGCTCCCTGCCTGTGACCTGGGGAAGCAGTACAGGATGGCCCAACGCCTTGGGATCCTGCACCCACTTGGGAGACCTGGAAGCTCCTGGCTTCACATCAGCTCAGCTGCAGCCATTGAAGCCATTTGGGGAGTCAACCAGTGGATAGAACATATCTGTCTCGCTGTTTCTCTTTCTCTTTGTAAATATAACTTTGCAACAAAAATAAATAAATCTTTAAAAACAAAGTTTAAGTGAAGAGGATGAGTTACAAGTGTGAAGAAACAAAGGTAAAGCATTTGAAAATTGAAATAGAATTAAGGAACAACTGATATGAATTAGTAATCAGAAGTTAAATCTGAACTGGGGAGGATGGCAAAAAAAACAGAAGACAAGAGTTACATACTTCCTTCTAAGTTTCTACCCTGGGTGCTAAATGACAGAAATAAATTTAAAGAAGATAAAGGGGCTTATATAAATATAGTATATAAGCTTCACCCAGGAAGTGTGACATGACAAGAACAATAAGTTTTCTGTGAAATGATTTAGGCAGAATAAAAGTGATCAAACAAAATTAGGAATGTATTTTCATTCTGAAATAGGTAATTCAATATGAGCTGAGATTAGTATGTTAAGATAGCTTATCAGGCAGAAGAAAATTGAAAACAATGGTCTCATTCATTTTCCCCTATTCTTGGATCATTCCTTCCCTAATCAGTGGTCCATGCAAACATTCAAACATCAAAAATAAATTATGCAAACATCAAAAATAAAATTTTCTAAAAGGTTGAAACTAAAAAAAAATAAATAAACTAAATCTAAAAAAGACTACATAAAATCACTTAGCGAGATTTAAAGACACTGTGTTCTTATAAGCGTAAACAGCTTTTGGATGTGTCTAATAACATGTAATTTCTGTTCAGTGTTTTTTGCTCAACTTTTACTTTCCAATGTCGAGGAGTCCTGCCTGATAAGCTATCTTAACATACTAATCTCTGAATTTTGTCTGTAGGTTTATTAACATATAAAAACCAGTCATTAATTATGGAATTCTGATAGACATTTCACATAAATCATCTCAGAATTCTTACACATACATATTAAATATTTTCTTAATACAAGTGAGAATTTAAAAACACAATATGAATCCCTCTTATTAAAGCACAATAAATGTCTCCCTAGCATCAACTTACAAACTGACAACACACTTATATGTAGAAATACTTTTATTAAAAGGAACAACTTACCAGTAAAAGTAACAGTTTCAGCAGTTTTTGAAGAGTCTGTATCTTTTCTATTTAAAAGAAGAAAATTCTAAGTTTTTTTAAAGTTCTAAAAGTGATTTATTTAAATCTAGAAAAGTTTAAAGTGATTCAACTGGAATTATGTCTCATTTAGGCTGTACTATGGCGATGAAATATATACATGAATGCTTTAAAAAGTTGATGCACAATGAAATCAGAAGATAGTTTTGGTGCAAAAGAAGCTGAAATCCACACATTAAGGGGATATTCAGAAAGTGTGTGAAAAACATGTTATAAAATAACTCTGGGTTTCAAAATTTTGCACCATACTAGTTTAATATTTATTAACTCATATGCAGTTTTCACATATAAAATCACAGAATTGCTTACTTTATTGTAGATCCAGACACTTTCTTGGAATCCAAAGTCTTTTTCTTCACTTCTTTGTTCTATTCAGAAACAAACAAACAAACAACATTTTACAAATAAAATGATATTTTCAAGTTACAGAATTAAGAAAACACAGAAAAGGACAAAAGGAATCCAATAAAACGTCAAAAATCTTCCTACTCCAAAGATAAATATTTACCTTTCCTTATTAATAGGAAGAAAGACAATTTTCCAATTTTATTAGAAAGGAGGCTGAATAGGAAGTGGAGCAGCCAGGACATGAACAGGCACCCACATGAGATCCTGGCATTTGTAAGGTAGACTTTAGCCACTGAGCTGTCACACCGGGCGCCCAAGATTTCTTGTTACCCTCCTCAGCAACACTTATCATTATGTGTGATAGTTCAGTTTTTAGATTTACACACATATTATCTGCTGAGATAAAATTTATACTTTATACATTTTTCCTCAGGCACATGATCCGTTAAAAAGTAAGCAGATCAAACAATCATAAATCACTTAGTACTTTAGTTCAGTTTACCTGTACTTTTTTCTTTCCTGCTGGAATACGTATTTTCACATCTTTTCCTTTTATCAGAAGAGGTGTTGTTTCAATGTACTTCATTACTGCAATAACGACCTCTTTAGATTCCATTTCCAAATAAGCCTAAAATGAGATTTATTCCTTTTTTAGTCAGTAATCTCCCTTAAAAGCCTCTGCATTTTTAGATTTTGTTTTTGCTAAAGTGATGTTTTTACAAATGAAAAGGACATTTAACCTTACAGAATTTCTTAATCCACATGGAGACAGCAAAGGAGGCAAGCATGGCAGGCTTACTGAACAAATGAAACAGGAAGGCATGACCCCTGAACAACAACAGTACTGAAGTCAGGACTGACATAGCTTGCTGTCTGACATTTTTAAGGGTTCCTGCAATAAAGATAACACTATCACTACATTCCTGTCTTTCCTCATAACTTTAGGTTCTGCTCAGTCTGAAATTATGCATAGTTCATGTATTATAGAAATATAACCCACATGAAAATAACCTTGCACAAAAGAAATCATTTATTATAATGTTACTGGTGTTCAAAAACAATGACTCTTAATCCATGGCATACTACCTATTCTTGCAAATAATTTTCCGGGAAGCCCTGTGTTGTGCCACAGGGTGAATGCTCACATTCCAAGTGGGCACTGGTTCAAGCCCTAACTACTCTGCTTCTGATTAAGCTCCCTCCTAAGAGACTGGGAAAAGAAGCAGAGCATGGCCAAGATGTTTGGGCTCCTGTCGCCCACAGGCACCTGGGTAAAACTCCAGGATTCCAGCTTTGCCTGGCCCAGACTTGGCCATTGTGGCCATCTGGGGAGTGACTCAATGGATGAAAAATTCCTCTATTTCCCTCTAATTCTTTCAAATTAAATAGATAAATCTTAAAAACCCAAATCTTTAGAACACAACCATGCTCACTTATTTGCCTATTATCTACAATTGCTTTTATATCACAATGTCCAAGTAGCTGTGATAGTTTGACTAACCCACAAAGTCCCAAATACTTATCATGGGGCCATCTACAGAAAAAAATCTGTGAAAATCCCTATTCTAAAAGATACAGAACAATTATTTTAGGAGTTCACACATTATTTTAACATTCACTTAACTCTCAACAAACAATTATATACATGGGGTCAGCAAAATGTTCATGGAAAACGTGTATTATCTTTTTATTCGGGTTTTCCACAAACATGTTAAGGTACTTTCCTTCATAACATAAGCAGCTCAGAGACCCAACAGCGGTTTATAGAATGACTGAAACAATGACTCTGAATGAGTTATTCAAACAGACTAAATGACTTACCTCCTTTCTATATGGAACAACCAGAACATCATTAACTTTTCCAAACGGTTGAAATACTTTTCTAATATCTTCTTCAGTACAGCCATCCTCTGGTAACTCAGACACAAGAAGAACTGAACCATAATGCAAAGACTGCTCTTTCCGGACCTATTTTTTGGAATAAAAAAAAAAATTAAGAAAAATTCATGAAAAACAGTAGCGACAAATCCTTACATAATTTCTTCTACAACTAATTTCATTCTCATTTTTTCTCTAACCAATTCACATAATTTTTACAATTGTAACATAACTTCAAAAGTTTTTAAATGCCAAAAAAATGTTTTCTATTTTAAAACCTGACACTTTATAGGCTTACTTCCCCATTTCTAAGTATCAAATATAACAAACAAGACTTATGGAATGGTCCTGATATTAAAGAGAATTTTTCTGTAGGAATCTACATAGTCTACCATGCAATGAGGTTGAAATCTCAGCTTTATTCATCTTTTATTCCACTGAGAATTATATTCATATAGATTTCAGATTTACTAGTTTTATTGGAAAGGCGCATCAGATTCATGAATAGAACTGAGCCAATCCAAAGAAGGAGCAAAAGATGCTTCTGGGTCTCCCATGTGTAGACTATCCTCTATTGCTTTTCGAGTTGAGGACATAAGCAGGGAGCTGGATGGGAAATGAGCAGCCAGGACATGAACAAGCATTCATACAGGATCCCAGAATTTGCAAGGTGAGGATTTAACCATTGAGCCATCATCCAAGACCAATATTTACTATTTTAACAGATTTATACATGGGCAGCCACAGTAGCAAATCAGGTTAAGCTACTGCCAACGGTGCTAGCACCTCAGATGTATGCTGGTTCAAGTGCCAACTGCTCCTCTTCCAATCCAGCTCCCTGCTAACATGCCTGGTAAAGAAGGAGCCCAAGTTTTTGGGTTCCCTGCACCAAAGTGGGAGACCCCAATGAAGCTCTCGGTGTCTGACTTCAGTCTGGCCCAGAACTGGCTGACGCAACAATTTGAGAATCGTACCAAATTGCATATCTCTTCCTCTTTGTAATTCTGTTTTTCAAATAAACAAATCTTTTTTAAAAACTCATGTATTGTGTAGCTTGAATATTACCAATCGCTATCTGTAGAGATTAAGTAGTTTTTTTTTCTTTTTACTGCACTGCCATCATCCAGAAGTCTTAAAAAGGAAAATATATTACCAGATTAGCACAGCCTCTTCAAAATATTCCCTATAGTAAAAATAAGGTGTTTCAGACAAGCAAGATTACTTAATTCAAAGTGTTTGTGTATATATACATAGTTATGATTAATTGATTACCTGATAAGTAGAGTTACAAACAGAGTGGGAGATAGAGAGATCTTGCATTTACTGGTTCATTCACCGAAATGATTCCAACAGCTGGGTCTGTGCCAGGCTGAAGCCAGGAGCTTTATCTGAGTCTCTCTTTGGGTGCAGGGGAACAAGCGCTTTGATTGTCATCTTTCACTGTTACCCCAGGTCCATTAGAAAGTAGAGGGAAGAGGCTGGTGTGGTAGCCTAGTCGCCAATTTCTCTCCCTACATGTGCTGGGATCCATATTGGCACCGGTTCTAATCCCAGCAGCCCACTTCCCATCCAGCTTCCTGCCTGTGGCCTGGGAAAGCAGTTGAGGACGGCCCAAAGCCTTGGGACCCTGCACTTGTATGGAAGAACTGGAAGATGCTCCAGGCTCCTGGCTTCCCATTGGCACGGCACCGGCCATTGAGACCATTTAGGGAAAGATCTTCCCCCCCACTCTCCTCCTCTCGTATATCTTTCTAATAAAATAATCTAAAAAAAAAAAAAAAAAATTGTGCTAAACACATCAATAAATCAATAACATTACTGAGTTACATGACTGAATTACTGGACTGGGTAAGAGAATCAATAAAATTTCTCATATCAATTTAATTTAACAACTTGTGATTTCAAATATATTAGAAACACAGAATTTTAAAAACCCACATTTTTGTTTTCTATGTCATTAAACAAATATATGAGGAAATAAAATCACTCTGTGATAATCTGTACTCCCAAGTTTATCACACCTTAGTCCTAAGAGCCAAGAGACTGCAAACACCAAAATGTCGATGCACTGGGGAATGGATAAAGAAAACATACATGTGGACTTCCGCTGAGGTTTTCTAGATACCCCTTGCACTGTACTATATGGATTATGTTCAGCTTTTCTGTTTCCACTCCAATTTCCTGCTAAAACAAACCCTGGAAGGCAGTAGATAACTGCTTAATTGCTGTAGGTTCATCACACATGAGAGATGGACTAAGTTCTAGAGGAATTTTTAATGCTTTCACAGAAAGAATTAAATGGGTCCAGCGTGATGGTTCTCAGTGGCTAAATCGTCACTTTAGAAGCACTGGGATCCTATATGAGCAATGGTTCATATCCTGGTTGCTCTACTTCCCATCCAGCTCTCTGCTTGCAGCCTGGGAAAGAAACAGATGTTGCAAAGCCTTGCAATCCTGCACCTGCATGGGACTTGGAAGAAGCTCCTGGATCCTGGCTTTGGATTGGCTCAGCTCTGGCCACTGCAGCTACTTAGAGAGTGAACCAGCAGATGGAAGATCTTTCTGTCTCTCCTCCTCTCTATAGATCTGCCTTTCCGATAAAAGTAAATAATATGCAAAAATAATTAAATGGCTGACCACATAGGTGTTTTATTCTCCTTGAACTGTAAAGATCACATCTACAGAAACATCACACAGTACACCACAAAAGTGTGCAACTTTTTATGTGTCAGTTAAAAACAAAATAAACATGGAAGATATGCTATGCAAAACACTAAGAAAAAAATGCACACACAAAAAAATGTACACATAACTTGTAGTAACAAAGAATTACTGACCTTTCGCTGGACAGAAACAGTTTTGTCAGACACCTGTTTACATTCAGGTGAGGTGTCATCATCCGGATTCTTTAGTTTTCGAGTAGAATGCCCTCCTAAATTGGAATCACTCTTTGCAGAGCTTGCACCTTTCACTGATGGCTTTGTTCCACTGCCAGTTTTGGACTTTTGTGCTGGTGAATGTCCTTTATCCACTGCTTCTGGATGCTTCTGTTTACCAGATTCGGTTCCATGTCCAGACCTTTGTCCTACATCTTCCAATGCTTTTTTTCTGTCTGGTAAGGATATTAATATAATTTCAATTGAAAACTTAAAGAACCATTTTATTTCACAGTGAAAGATATGCAGTATTTATCCTACAGAGCCAATCAAGACAAACAGGGTGCATATAAAAAAAAAGAAACCTTTATTTTTTAAAGAATCCTTTATTTTGGAATCAGCACTATGGCACAGATGTTTAAGCCTGCAATGTGGGCCATATGGGCACTGGTTTGAGTCCCAGATGCTCCACTTTCAGTTCAATTCCCTGCTTTTGTGCTGGGAAATTAGCAGAGCATGTTCCAACTGCTGGGAGTCTGCACCCAGATAGCAGACCAGAGGAAGCACCTAGCTTGGCCTGGCCCAGCCCTGGCCACTGCAGCCAGGTGGGGTGTGAACAGGCAGATGGAGGAACTTTATCTGTTACTCTGCCTTTCAAACAAGTAATAAAACTTCAGGAAAAAATCATTTATTTGAGAGAGCTAACAGAGAAAGGGAGAGAAAGATGGAGACCTTCTATCCACTCCTTCTCCCTAGATGGCCACAATGGCCAACAGAAGGCCAGGACAAAGTCAAGAGTCAGGAACTTTATCCAGGTCTCCCACATGAGCCGGGGGGTGGGGGGGGGAGCCTAATACTTGGGCCATCCTCCATTACTTCCCCCTCCCCCACTAGCATAACAGCAGGGAGCTTGATTAGAAGCAGAGTAACCAGAACACAAACTGATGCTCAAATAAAATGCAGGTGTCGCAGGCAGTACTTTCTCCAGGTACACCACAATGCTGATAAACTCACCCACCCCAAACCAATTCTAACTCTTTAATTGTTCAAAAGGCTTTTTTGTAAGACTCATTTACCCAGTGAGCTTCTCTTACACCAGTGGTTCTGAAACTTCAATTTCAGAATTCCTTTACACTCTGAGGATTCCAAAGAGCTCTGTGTTTTATGTACTGATATTCAGTATTAAAACAGAATACTAAGCATATTACTTAAATTAAGAATGCTGTTAATATAAGCAACATAATTTTTTTAAAAAATCTCTAATTCCTCAAACAAAAATAGTGAGATTAGTAGCACTGATATGCATCTTCTCAATTTTTTTTAAAGATTATTTTTCCTAAGAAAGACAGATGTACAGAGAGAAGAAAAGACAGAAAAAATGATCTTCCATCTGCTGGTTCAATCCCCAAGTGGCCACAATGGCCAGAACCCAACTGATCTGAAGTCAGGAGCCAGAATCTTCTTCTCAAAGACTTGGGCCGTCCTCTGCTTCCTTTCCAGGACACAAGCAAGGAGTTAGATGGGAAGTAGAGCAGCCAGAACATAAACCCGTGGCCATTTGAGATGCCAGAGCTTGCAGATGCAGTAAAGATTAGCCAGTTGAGCCATTACCCTGGTCCCTCTGGTATGCATTTTTAGAAACACTTCAACAGCAGATTTAAGACGCCTAACTTCTCTATCTACTTATGCAGTGAATCTGCTTGATATATTTCTTTGGTTCAATGTATAAAGAAAATCTAGCCTCATAAAAATATGTAACTAGAAAAGGGAACATCCCACAAAACTGAAAAGAACTTCAGGTTCTGAAAGGATCCTTGGATCCCAAGCTGAAAATGGCTACATTATACATTTAGAAGTTATTTCCATGGGCAGGTGTTTACTTAACCTAGCCACTAAGAATTCTAAAGCTCCACCAGGAAGTATCCAGGTAAAATACCTAGCTCTAGCTCCTAAATCCATATCACTGTTAACACAAACCTTGCCTGGAAGCAGTGATAGTTCAAGTAACTGGTTCCTGTCACTGATGTAGAAGATTTGGATTTAGTGACTCTCAGTTTCAGCCCCACCAATGGGGGTATTTGGGGAGTGAATCAGTGGACAGAGCTCTTGTCTAATACATTTTAAAATGATAAATTTAGAAGTATTTTGGGATTGTTGCCATGACACAGTAAGCCAGACTTAAGCTTGCAGCACCTGCATCCCCTATGGGTGCCAGAGTTTCCACTTTCCATCAAGCTCCCTGCTTATGGTCTCTGAAAGCAGCGGAGGATGGCTGAAGTCCTTGGGCCCTTGCATCCACATGGGAGACCCAAAGAAGCTCCCAGCTCCTGGCTTCAGATGGGCTCACCTCCATCCCTTGCAGCCACTGGCAGGTGAAGTCAGCAGATGGTAGATCTTTCCTTCTAACTGCTTTCAAATAAAAGCTAAATTAATACTCTCATTACAGGAAGCTTTCTTGGAAATGTCATTAAATTTAGACACAGGTCAATGATATGAATAATTTCACATTAAGTTTTAAATGAGTTTATAGTATTCTATATTTGATTATCAAGATAATATGGTATTACATTCCTTTTTTTAAATCTGATATTGTTACACAGATCACTCTCCCAGACTCCTGAACCCAATGTTTCTAATGAACTGCCTGAGATGTGAATCAGGTTTCATGTAGTAATTCAAAATTAGCACGCAGAAATTTCATTTCTTAAAAATCTAAACCAAAAAAAATGAGTTTCAGTCAAACAAGTAGATTAATTTTTCTCACAACTGTCAGTGTACCTGATGATCTCACTGATCTCCGTGATGTCCTTTCAGGGCTAACGGATCGATAGTATTTTGGACTACCTCTAAACGGATTTCTAATTCTATATGGTGAACGGGATCTAGATCGTGATCTGTATCTAGAAACGAAATGATGGAAAAATCTTGGACTTCGACTTCTTGGTCGGTACATGTAACGCATTGGGCTTCGAGACCGACGGAACCTATGACTTGAGCTTGATCTTCTAGATCGTCTGGGACTGGGTGAATGAGATCGCCTTCTTGGAGTTTCATTTTCTTTTCTATTAAAGTAGTAAGGAAAAAACAAGCAAGAGTCAGCAATTCAATGCAAATTTAAAAAATATTAAATGACATGTACTTTACTAAACAAACTTTTAGCAATAGACACTAACAACACTTAAAAATAAGTACCTGTTATAATTTCAGCCTTGGAGGTAAGGAAGAAACAATAAGAACGGATAATATGTCTTCTACCTGCTCTGCTAAGTAACAGTATCATCACAAAGGTCAATTTATATCTAATGATTTGAAAGTGTCATGTAAAGAATTAGATTATGTCACTGATAAAGTTTGAATGCTTTGAATATGATCTCCCACTTGTCTGTCAGGACTCCTATGTTGGCGAAGTCAAGAGGTGGTAGGACTGTTAAGAGACACAGAATACTGAAATATCCTCAGGTCATTAGAGGCTCTACTTTTAGAAAGAAAAGTAGTTCTTGGACTATTTTCATGAGCAAATTGTTATAAAAAGACTCCTTCTCTGGCTTCCCATCTTGTAAAATGGTTTCTCCCTCTCAAATAGGTCCCTACAATCGTAATGCCATTCCCTATGAGGCCTCCAGCACAGCCAAGCAAAGCTGGTATTACACCCTTAAACTTCCAGAGCGGTGAGTCAAATAAATCTCTTTTTTCCACAAATTACTCAGCTTCAGGTACCTTTGTTACAGTAACAAAAAAACAAACAAACACAGGCACCTACAAATATTTCCATGAATACATAAACACAAATTGAGTTTAGACCCCTATATGTATATGTCTTAGTAAGAACATTCTCAGCCTTTAAGGCATTTACAACCAAAGATTCCATATATTTAAAATAATCATAGAACAAAGTATTTTCAAGAAAGATTAAAGAAAACAGAAGTTCAGTGAGGAAAAATATTGCATGTAAGCTGAGGTAAGTGAAGAGTCCCAGAACACTTGGCAATCGTATTACTTCTTTAAAACTAAAAATGGAGAAAGTAGGCTTCAATTTAAAACAATAACTTTTTAAAAACTGATTTTCTCAAAAGAAAATCAAGTTCAGTAACAATACTAGTTTTTAAAAAATTACCTTCTTGATGGAAGAATTTCAGGATTCCAATCAGGATACCTATTTTGAGAATAAACAATATTAATAAACAGTTAAACTAAAGCTATACAGCTCAAGTAATCTTTACCTTCAATTTATCAAACAACTATTCAAAATGTACATTTACATAGTAACCTATTTAACAGGATTATCTTAAAAGTTCATGGAAAAAAATTTTCAAAGTGCATTTCCACAAAATTTTAAAAGCAGTCTTGTAGGTGAAAACATAAAAATTTTCTTGGAAATAAAACAAGAAAATTTCTTTTTGAGAGTCAGACTTAATAAGTAATTAAAATTCTACGTTAGTAGGTGTATCAGTTTAAAGTCCTAAAAATAATTGTCTAATAGACAATACAAAAAAATATCTTTAAAAGCACATAAGAAGTACAAGACAGACACAAGTATAAAAAGAAAGGGGTTAAAAAAAAAAAAAGACAGAAGACAGTCATCCACTATGCAGAACTCCAGGAGTGATAATTCTTAAAATATTCTAGGGTAACTCATAGACTAGAATATGAATGGTGCTCCTTCAGTGACAAGTGACTCCTAGCTAAGCAAGAAGAATCTATAGAGAATTCAAAGATGACGCTGTTTTCAGGTAGCCTTTAAAAAGATTTATCAACAGAAGATCTTTCTTTTAAGATTTATTTTTATTGTAAAGTCAGATATACAGAGAGGAGGAGAGACAGAGAGGAAGATCTTCTGTCCACTGATTGACTCCCAAGTGATTGCAACGGTTGGTACTGCGCCAATCTGAAGTCAGGAGCCAGCAACTTTTTCCAGCTCTCCCACATGGATGCATGGTTCCAAGGCTTTGGGCCATCCTCAACTGCTTTTTAAGGCCACAAGTAGGGAGCTGGATGGGAAGTGGAGCAGCTGGGATTAGAATTGGTACCCACATGGGATCGCAGCTCATTCAAGGCGAAGACCTTAACCGCTAGACCACCGCACTGGGCCCAGATCTTCCTTTCTGTCTCTCTTCCTCTCTGTATATCTGCCTTTCCAATAAAAATAAATAAATCTAAAAAAAAAGAATTGTAAGAGTTAAAACTTGTGAAAGTGTGTCTGGTAAAGACAAAATCATGAAAGACTTTAAAATCATAAAATCTTGTTGCACACAAGCAGAAGGCAACAAGGTAATTCACTGATCAGATCTGAAGCAAAGATGACACAAGAATGTTCTGAGAACATATCTGAAACTAGGAAAAGAAGGCTAACATATCTGGAAGGAATCTACAACTATTTTCCTAACAGTAAGACTAACACAAGAAGAAATTACAAAAAGAAAAAAAGAGAGGCCGGGACTGAGCACATAAATCTTATTCACAAGAACATTCAAAATAACAAAGAAAAAAGATTAATCATTAATAACTTAAGTAGACAGTAGTATCACAGACGCCTAAGACAGACATACTCAATTTTAACTTTTCTGAAGGAGCTGAACTCTAAGAGGTAACTGGACAAGTTGAGTACATTAAATCATTAAGTTACTAATATTCAAGAATACATTTTCTATAGCAAGATGAAAGCCAGGTAAGGAAATGGAGACAATACTCTTTCAAAAAGTCATCAATATAAAGTTAGGTCATAAATTAGTAAGGTGTTTTTATATGTTATTCTTCCATGCGCTTTCCCTTGCCGCCTGTGTTACAAAAGCTTAAAAAGCTAAATAATTTTTATATCCAGTCTGGCCTCTCCAAAACAAAGCCAGTGGTAGGTTCTAACCAAATACAGCAAGATCACACATTATTCAGAGTATCATATAATTACGAAATTGTAACTGTCAAGATGGGACAGGTGTTTACACTAGCAATTAAGATAATGGTTAGAATGTCCATATCTCATATTGGAGTAGCTGTTGATTCAACAGCTGGATCTAGCTCCTGACTTCAGCTTATCAGCAATATAAACCCTGCAGGCAGTAGGTGATGGCTCAAGGACATGGATCCCAGCCCCTCCTGAGAAAAAGGGATTGACTGAGTTCTCTGCCCCGGGTCTGTCCTTTTCCCAACACTTGCAGCCATTTAGACAATAATTCAACACATGGCAATGTTATCCCCAAGTAAGTTTCTCATTTTTTAAAAATTTACTTATTTTCATTGGAAAGGCAGAATTACAGAGAAGGGAGGGGGAGAGGGAGAGAGACAAGGGGAGTGAACAAGAGAGGGTGGCAGGGAGAAAGAGAAAGAATCTTTCACCCATAGATTCACTACCCAAGTGGCCACACTGGCTGGAGTTCAACCAGCTTTTAGCCAGGAGCTTCCTCTGCATCTCCCACATGGTTACACTGGCCGAAAAATTGGGACAGTCACCATTGCTTTCCCAGGTCATAAGCAGAAAGCTATAAAGAAAGTGGAGCAGCCAGGACTCAAATTGGTACCCATATGGGATTGCTGGCATCAAAATCACAAGCTTACCCTCCTATGCCATCATGGCAGCATCATTAAATTTTTCTTTGAATTATGAAGGCAAAAAGGTTAATTTGAAGGCCAGCATTGTGGCACACAGGGCAATGGGTGCTAGTTCGTCTGCCAGCTGTTCCAATTCTAAACAGCTCCCTGCTAATGTGCCTAGAAAAGCAGAAGACAGCCCAAGTGCTTGGGCCCCTGGGCCCAGAAAGCTCTCAGCTTGACTTGATGTAGCCTTGGTTGTTGCAGACTTTCAGGGAGTGAATCTAGACTTCCCTGGCTCGCTCACTCTTTCTGTATTTCTGCCTTTCAAATAAATAAGTTTTTATTTTAAAAGGTAGAATTGGGCTTGGTGTGATGGTTCAGTCACGTAATCCTCCACCTCTTAGTGCCAGAATTCCATGTGGGTACTGGTTCGTGCCCTGGTTATGAAGATCCTCAGTGTTTTCTGCTTTTGTGATTTCTGCCTTACTTGCTTGGCTGGGGGCTGTATGAACTCATGGCCTGACAGCCTACATGACACCCGAGAGGTCACATGGAAGGTCACATAGGCGAAACACTCCTCAGGAAGGAGATCCCTGGTGTTAGATAAGACTCCCTCAATGCCCTATAGCCCACCAGTTTGTACTTTCTGAAAGTTATTTGCTTCAAACCCACCAATAGAAGCCTGCCAACTTGCTCTTTCTAAGTTAACAGTTAAGCCGAACAATTATGACTGTATAATATATAGAACTGGCCTGAAATGTATAAAAATCCTGGTGTCAAATCTCATTTTCTTTTCTTTCTTTGCCCCTTCTGCTGCAGCTTCGGCTGCTGCCACCCTGTTGGGCTGGGGTGGCAGCTGGCAGCCTAGTCTGAATAAACCGCCTTTATACATTTGCATTGAGTTCAGACACCTGATGATTTTCTGGGGATCACAAAATCTGGGCACAACAGTTGCTCCACTTCCCTTCCAGCTCTCTGCTTCTGTCCTGGAAAAGCAGCAGAGGATGGCCCAAGGCACTGGAACCCTGCACCACTATGAGTGTCACAGAAGAAGCTCCTGGCTTCAGATGGGCTCAGTGCCAGCCATTGTGGCCACTTAGGAAGATGGAAGATCTTTCTGTCATTCTTTATCTCTATAAAACTGTCTTTCCAATAAAAATAAATCAATCTTTAATAGAAACAAAAAGGGCAGAGGGAGGGGGGAGTTGGCAGCATGGTAACTCACCAGCATGGGCAAATAAATTCAGAAGCAATAAAAAATAAAATAGGGGCCCCGTGCAATGGTTCAAATAGTTAATCATCCCCCTGCAAGTGTGGAGATCCCATTTGGGCACCAACTTGTTTCCACGCTGCTCTACTTTTCATCCAGCACCCTGCTTGTGACATGGGAGAGCAGAAGAGGACAGCCCAACATCTTGGAACCATGCACCCACATGGGAGACCCAGAGGAGGTTCCTGGCTCAGCTCTGGCCGTTGTGATCACTCTTTGCCTTTGTAAATCTGACTTTCCAGTTTAAAAAAATAAAGACTGTTAGCAGGAACTTCTAGGTATTGTTTCTAGGTAAAACTATGGCAGAATTATTCTCAGAAATTCCCAACTTGACCGTGACGTAAAAAGTCTGAGCCAGAGTTTGACTGATTTTGTATAAATAAAGCGGACAGCTTTCCCGCATTGTCCATTATGAGCATGAAAAAAAAATAATAATAATAAAAATAAATAAAAACATTGCTTAAGATACCCATGCCACATATCAAAGGACCTGGGTTCAAGTACTAGTTCTACATACAATGCTAGTCTCCTGCTAATTTGCACCTGAAGGAGCAAGGTACCTCCCCTGCCTCCAGCACAGATCTCTTCACTTAAAGGACACAAAATTTTTCTTATAAAGATTTATTCATTTTTATTGGAAAAGCAGATCTATAGAGAAGAGGAGAGACAAAGATTTTCTGTCCAATGGTTCACTCCCCAAGTGGCTGTAATGACCAGAATTGAGCCAATCTGAAGCCAGGAGCCAGGAGCTTCTTTTGGGTCTCCCAGGCGGGAGAAAGGTCCCAAGGCTTTGGACCACCCTGGACTGCTTTCCCAGGCCACAAGCAGGGAGCTGGAAGGAAAGGTGAGGACTTTAGCCACTAGGCTACTGTGCTGGGCCCAAGGCCACAAAAATTTTTAATGACTGCTTTCTAGTAGGTGCAGGCTTCAGCCTTCTGATATATATGTAATGCCTACAATACAGTGGTCATCAACAAATAAAAATTATTACTTTCCAGAGTACTCCACTTGAGGGCTCCAAAAAGCTCTTCAGTTGGTAAAGTTTCAGACTTTGAGGTTGCATGATAAACAAAACAAAACAAAACATGATGTCATTTCATTTCTGCTCCCCAGGACAGAGAATAAAGCATGTACAATATTTCAGCTGGTCAAATTAAGCTTCAAAAGCATCTCCTTTCAGCTTCCGTTCCCAGCAGCCCTAGCTATTAGACATCTGTGAACCAGTATTCGTGTGTGTGTGTGTGTGTGTGTGTGTGTGTGTGTGTGTGTGAGAGAGAGAGAGAGAGAGAGAGAGAGAGAGAGAGAAAGTGAGCATTTCTAGGCCACTCACATAAATAAATGTACTTCAGAAAAGCACTCTTCCCAAACAGAAACAAGACAAAAATATAGAGTACTCTAAATTAAGAGAGTATAACACATGAATCTTGACTGAATCCTGGTAATGAGGAGTTTAAATTGGGTGATGCACAGGTAATCACAAGAGGCATTTTAGAGACAAGTCAGAATTTCTCAATATTGCCTTTATAATTTGTTAGATAACATGGAATTACTGTTAATTTTCTTAAATGTATTTTGCTCTGGTTATACAGAAAACATCTTTCATTCTTAGGGGATAAATGGTGAATTTAGGAGTGTGATCTTAATCTTTGCAATTTGTTTCAAAATTTTGTAAATATATATATATATATATGTATATGTATGCATTTGAAGATAAAACATACCAAATGTTAACAATTGTGAATAAGATGAAGAGCAGAATTTTACTATCCCTTTAGCATTTTCTGGCTTAGAAATTTCTCAGAACAAAATTTTAAGGAGAAAGGAAAAGGAGCAAGAATCCTTGAATTAGATAAACCAATATATTCATTTCTTACTTACTAGAGAAACTACCTTTTTGTACCTCAATTTCCTCAGAGGTGGTTTTTAGCATTAAATCAAATAAATGAAATCAATCCTAAAAGCACTTACTTTTTTTAAAAAAAAGTTTTTCATTTGAAACTTAAAGTTATAGAGAAAAGAGGCACATAGCTCTTCCATCCATGGTTCACTCCCCAAATGTCCACAGTGGTCCTAACTGGGCTAGGCCAAAGCCTGAGGAAATTTACCCAGGTTTCCCAAGTGGGTGCAGAGGCCCAAGTAATCTGCTTTCTTATGCACATTCGCAGGGAACTGGAGCAGAAGTCAACAACCACTCCCTAAACTCCCCCCCCCCCCACTAAACTTTTTAATACTAAAATTGTAATGCACTATATCTCTTCTCAAGCTAAGCACTCCTGGGTTATATTCTACAAAGATTCAAAAAAGATGAAGTTTTTAAGAAAATGATTTTTCTTCAAGAATTTAAATATACCTCAATATTGGACTGAGTAAATGGATTAAGATTTCACACAATAAACCTTTAAAAGTATACAAAATAGGATTTCAGGCAGTTAACCCAAACTAATGCACTTACTAAATTAATAATATAATAATAAAATAACTTATAATTTGAAAGTTTTTGCTGAGAAAGATGTCATAAAATAATTACTCATGAGTACATAATCTTACTAAGGTAACAAAGTAGACCAGAGCACTGAACTGGCAGGCACAAAAAGAACATGGTTCAAAATTAAGTCCATACGCACAAAAAAGATAAGCTTATCTACACAGATTTTGATTGGCTTACACAAGCTTATTGTAATAAGTAGCAGTATATGTAGCTAGCACCTACTAATAACTCACTTTTGCAAAGCCCCCACCTTCATAAAAACTGACATCTCATCATATATGAGTGGGAGAATGTGAGTTTGGGGAAAGTACCCACTTACAGTGCTCAAGGCATATCCAATTCTAGAAATACATGATCTTCCTGAGATAACTATCTTTGCACAAGGTCTACTCAGGGAATCCACTCCAGTTTCTTATTTTGAGTCAGGTCCCAATTATCTCACTCTCAATGCCAGAAAAAGTCACAAGGATACTAACGAAAGAGAACACTGTATTCCTTCAGCCAATATAAACTGATTTAGAAATGCAGAACAAATTCAAAGTGGTTCAAAAGACCCAAACCAACTATCTCTGCAGGAGATACAGGCAAAGAAGTGCGTTAAGATAAGGAAAAACAAAACAAAACAAAACTCTAAGGGGCAGGTATTTTAGAGTAGTAGAGTAGTAGTCACCTCTTGGGACACCCTCATCCCCTGGTAGAGGTGACTGTTCAAGTTTTAGTTTCTGATTCAGCTTCATACTAACACACCTGGGAGGCATCAGATCTCTGTCACACAGGATAGTCAGAAGAGTTCCTGGTTCCTAGTTTTGGCCTGGCCTACTCTTAGTTTCTACAAGCATCTGGGAAGTGAACTAGTAGATGTGAGAAACGAATCTTAAAAATAAATAAACTGGGGCCCAGCACGATGGCGCAGTGGTTAAGATCCTCGCTTTGCACGCCCGGGATCCCATATGGGCGCTGGTTCTATCCCGGCAGCTCCACTTCCCTGCCAGCTCCCTGCCTGTGGCACAGGAAAGCAGTCGAGGACGGCCCAAAGCTTTGGGACCCTGCACCCGCGTGGGAGACCCAGAAGAGGCTCCTGGCTTTGGATCGCCATAGTATCAGCTGTTGCGCTCACTTGGGGAGTGAATCATTGGACGGAAGATCTTCCTCTCTGTCTCTCCTCTCTGTATATCCGCCTTTCCAATAAAAAAAATAATAAAACTAAATCTTTAAAAAAAATAATAATAAATAAACTGAACAAAACAATCTAAAACTACAGGGATGGAAGAAGTATGCCTAAGATTTTACAAGGCCAACACAGAAAAGAATGCTGAAGAAATGAAAATGTTTGACAGTGAAATAAAATTTAGCTGTTCTTGCAATTAGAACCACTTATGAAGCTTCCCATTTAATAGTGTAAGTTCCCTTCTTTCAGAAAATATTTTGAGTTTATCACTTGCAACTAGAAGAGTCCTAAATTGTAACATTAAAATCCGTCTGCCCAAGTCTGGTGACTAGAAATTTTGTTACTCCAAGGGACCCATGGAGTACACTGTTAAAATCATCCTTTTCAACTCCATGGCTAGTAGGGAAGCATTCATAGGAGCCTTGTTTAAGAGGACAGGAGCCTTGTTTTAAAGAACAAAAGCGTGAAAGACCAGAAGACACAATAATGAGAAGTCTAGCTTGTTCATCCCTCACTCAAGATTTATTCTGAAAACAAGATTCTATGACAGAACAGCATTAGGCTTGAGGTTAATAAAGATTGATGTGGAGTATTCATTAGTTTTTAGTCAAATATAACTACCCTGGGACAAGAGATGAAAATAAAATATCTGCTTTGAAACACATACATTATTTCAGACTAGGTAAACCAGCAAAGGATATATCAATGATATATAAAAAAATCCATCTACTGGAAACTGAATGAGCAAGGCAATCTGAGGCAAGGATCACTAAATTCTTCCCTTTTGGAAAAATATTAAACATACTTCTATACAAATTATATATTAAGTAGGCAAGAGCATTCCAAAAACATCTTTCTACAAAGTATCACACTAAAGAAAGTCATAACTGAAAATTATTTTGCAAATTTGTTACATATACAAAATATTCTTACTGTTGACGTAGTTGTCGACAGCTCTCAATATGAGTAGATGTATTCTGATGCTGAATCCAATCCTATTGTAAAAAAAGTGTTGAAATTAGAATATTTCTCAGGTTGGATGAAGTAAGCTGTAACTGAGTAAAATTTTCACAAAAATTAAGACTTCCAAACAAAAGCACTTATATCAAACCTCTTTGATCCCCTTCAAAAATTTTTTTCATATAGAAAACTTTAAAAAATCACACCCATGGATACTCATTTTGGCACCTCTATACATTTAAAACTTAATAAAATGAAAGCATGTGTCAGAAAACAGTTTATCTCAAATACAAAAATCCCAGATAACTTAAAAAAAAATCTATAAATAAAATGGTATCTGTGATATGCCATCTTTACTGTACAGTATTTTTAATGACTTATTCCTTTAACATTCAAGCTCACAACATCATCAAAACAAAACAAAACAACAACAACAACAACAACAACAAAAAACTACCTCATAGACCAGAATCATTTGAAACAAGGTGCTCACTAAAGCGGCAAATGATTAGTAAAACTATGAAAAACTGCTGATCGAATCTAATTTATTTCCAAGATATAAAGGAAAATAACATGATTTCAAAGATACAAAATATCCCTTACATATAATCTTTACAATTAACAAAAGGCTTTCTTACACATTTGTTCATTTACAATTAAATTGTGTCATAAAATTACAATATGTAACCTTCAGTTCCTAGGTGATACATCTCATTTAAAAAAAAAAAAGCCAACACAGTTTTTAAAGATACAGACTTCAAAATAAACAACTGGTTAAAAGCAACATGTATATTACTCAATGTTTGTTTCCTCAGCATTTGGAAAGGCAGAAAACTTACTGATTCTGTATTTTCAAACTTGCCTTGAAAAATATTTCTTTCCATTTCAAAAACATTTAATTTAGATCATGGATCCCACCTTAGCATGAACTATCTAACAGTGTGTGTTATCTACCTTACTCAGCAATCAGTTACAATAAACCCTAAACTATCTCATTAAGTCACAGAACTGACAGCGGACTGCATAAGGTGGGGGTAACAGGAAGGTCTGCATGCTCTGCTCAGTGATCAAATGAAAAAGCTCACTGAGACTGGCAGTGAGAATCCTAGTGGTGCTACAGCCATGTCTTTGAAACTGGGCACTCAGATCAGACACACTGGCAGGCAGTGGGGTGAGCATAATTTATCTGGAGTACCTAACATTTTATTTAAATAAATTGCCAACATTTAAAAATTCAGAGATTTTTTTATCCCCAAATCCAGATATCCAGCTTTCCTTAGTTATTTATTCTTTCAGCAGTTAATCAGCTGAAGGTAGTAGCTACTCTATTCCAAGGAGTATCTGTTCCAGTGTGGTAGCACTCTCTATTGGCTTGCTTTACTCACAGCACATTTCTAAGGTAAGTGAATAGACAGACCTCTGTCACCTCAATTTTAAGACTCTCCAGTAACAATACCAGATGAGATAATGTTCCAAAAACAATACTGTCTTTCCACAGAAAAATTATTAATTACTACTAAGCATGTAGTTCTGCAAGCACAGTACATTGGAAAGGCTAAGAATGAAACTACCAAGGGGGTGTAGGGTGCAATGAGTTCAGACTCTGCTTGGGACAACTGCATCCTATTCCTGCAGTGCTCAATCTAGTGCTGCTTCCTCCACTTTCAATATAGCTCCCTGGCTAATACCAACTGGGAAGGGAGATGGTGGCCCAAGTATGTGGTTCCCACCACCCATGATACCCAAATGAAGATCTGGGATCCTGGCTTTGAGCTGTTCCAGCCCTACCTGTTGCAGGCATTTGGGAACTTAATCAGCAAAATGAAGATCCTCCACCTCATCCCATCATTCTGCCTGTCTAATAAGTAGATCTTAAACAAAGCAAAACAAACTACCTAACCATAGCAGAACTCATACTCTATTCTCTGTTCTTCAAAAGTCTTCTATACTGATCAGTACTTTCCTGCATTCACTATTTTCAATCAGAAAAAAATAGCACTTCTAAACCAAGAAAAGGTTTCCTTCTATATTCTGAATCCCAATCTAGAAAGGTAATACATTTCACATTCTATTGTTGCATTCTCCAAGTGTGTCTTCAGAATACAGTTTTAAAGACTTCAAAGGAACACAGATATTTGTCAAGATTTTACAATTGATAATTCATGCTCATCTGCTATCGATTTAAAGTGCATATATGCATATTTGAGAGCAAAATGCATCATGAAAATGAGTTCATGTTTTTTAAATCCATGTTCATAAATTCCTAACATCTGAACAATCAATAATGAAAAATCATTAAGCACTTCTGTTGTCATCCATTAAGGGATTTTTTTAATTGGCAATCTCCTAAGAGCTCTAATGATTAACTAATTTTCCCTCCTCTCAAAAGTTCACTGTCACCTTATTAACCCAGATTTTTACCATCTTACACATGAATAAGAAAGAAGCCTTCAGTCAGGGGTTTTATCCCATCTCTTCTTCTTATTACTCACCATGCATGCTTCAATCTGAAACCACACTTTGAACATATTACTTCATGTATCAAGAAACTTAGCTTCCTGAAGCTTCTCAGGAAAGTCTAAACTCCTTAAACTAGTTTTTCAAAGCCCTTTGTACTGATTTCTAACATGTTCATTACTCTTTCTCAACAGCTCTGACCACAAGGCAATGTAGTACTTTCTCAGGATCTTTGCCTCTGTATATTACTGATCCTTTCCCATTTAGGTTGGCACATCTAAGCTCTACCCATGCAAGACCCAGAAGACCCATCTTCACCCTACTTCATTAGATCTTCCCTCTCAGATCATTCTAGTCCAGACAGACTCAAAGCATTAGTAACTATCACTCTATTAGTGGTACCCAACTACACTACGGAAGTCTTTCTATGCCAAGAAGCAAATTTGCATTTCATTTCAAATCTCAAGCTGTTAGACACATAGAGTCAGTAGTAAATAATGCTGACCCAACTGGTATAAGTCTAAAACGAAGACTAAACTATTTTATCATCTCCCACCTACAGCACACAGAAACAAGTTCAGCAAATCAATCACCATTTGGTGCTTTCTGACGTTTAATTCCTTCATTATATAATTCTTCTCAAGCTATGAAAGTCTTAAAAATCTAAATTTTATTTATTTCTACTCTGGTATCAAAAAGTCATGTAGAAAAAACTGTTGTCAGTTATAAACATATTGCATAAATAGGCTATACCCAGAGAATCAAACACTCAAATCAGTACTTGGGCCAGGGCTACTTGGAAACTGCAATTAAGCACTGGAAATTACTGAGATTTTTCTTTCAAGATTAAGACTTTACTAGCTGTAGTCAATGGTATGACAACAGTATCAGATCTAGGTATCAGATTCTTGTTGATTGAAATCTTTTCAAGAAAAAAAGGAAGAGTGGGGAAGCATGGCAAAGAGAAGAAACAAGGAAAATAGCACCTATACGTTTTCAAGTCTGTTCAAAGTACACAACCAAATCAAGGTTGAGCTTCAATCAATTTCTTCTGTTGGGAAGTACATTCCTTCCTGACCATTTCCAGTCTACAGCCACAAGTCACATTAGTAAAAGGAAAACAAATGGTAAACAGGAATCTTGGCTCAGATCAATGATTACTACCAAGTAATAAGTACATTTTCATTATTTTGTACTTTTCATCACATCCACAAAATACTTCTTTCCAATTATACAAGCCAGGGAAATACTTAGAGCTTATTTTTTAAAAGATTTTCCTCTCCAAATTTCTATACTTTTATACTCTATTGAATGAGCTTATATCTGGTCCCATAATAACTCATTCTGTTGTTTTAGCAAGTTTTTCATAAAGAAGTCACTAGTCCACACGAAGCTATAAAATATTTAGATCAATAGTAACTGCCTTTGCCCAAGACAGGTAGGTACAAGCAAGGTTAAGTGATACTGTCTCTTAAAAATATGCAGCATAAACAAGTTATACCAACTTTGTTTTTATACTAACAGATTCTTATTTAGACAAGGATGATTCATATGACATTGTCTTTTAAGTACAGTTTAGAATACAGATCATATAAGCAGGATAACCAAAGTTCCAAATAAATGGACAACTATGTGATTTACCAATTATGAAAATGTTTTAGAAAGCCTAACATTCAATTCACAGGGCTACTTAAGATTAAAATTAAGTGTTGACATTGCATCAAAAATCTTTGACATTTCCTAAGGTCTAGTTAACACCAGCACACACATCAGAATTTCGAGAAAATTGGGTGCTGAGCATCATTATACAGGGATCTTGAAAAACACTCACCTTCAAATGACTACATTCTACGTTACACAGAGAACACAAATGTGGAAATATTCTTGGAGATGCTGCATAATAATCATTCATCATAGAAGGAGTTGGAAGTCTTTTCATCTTCTGGGCATCAGCATGTGAAAACTTTGGTAACCAAGACGCTTTCACAATCCCAAATGGAGACTGAATGGGAAGATCAGCCTCCGACTGGTAACTCTTTTTACTTCCTCTTGAGCCAACATGTACATTAGATGAACTCATCACGGATTTATGTGGAATCCGCTCTCGCTGGTTCACAGCTGAAATTAATTCAGATGAAAAAGGCTGCTGGTTCATAGAAGGAGGAATCAGAGACTGACTCATTGTCTGGCTAACTGTTTGGCTAATGGATTGACTGATGGATTTTACAGGTTCAAGTCCTGACTGTCCTCCTGAAATGTGTAAGCCTGACATCTTGGTTCCACTCTCAACTGGGAAAAAAGACTGATTACTGGAGGACTCACCAGGGAAGTCCATCTGGCGAAACACATCTTCAACAGGAAACATAGAATTACATATTACATTTGGAGTGGGAACAGATGCAGAAAGGTTCTGCTGTGATTGAAATTCATTCTTGACCTCTTCAGTTGGAATTTCAGGATCGTAAATACGTACTTCAAGTGGATCTTCCGTGTAACCATATTTGCTTGCATGCCCATAATCAATCACATTACTTGAAACTGTTTCACTACCAAGCGTTTCTTTATTTCTACTTTGAGAGGGTAAATTAGGTAATCGGCGCCCCATTTTTCGCATTCTTATATCCCTCAAAATTAATGGCATATTTTCAGGAGTTAGCTGTTCATCAGGATAACGACTAAGTTCTTCTAGATCTTCATTAGATAATCCAAAACTTGCTAAGATACTTGAGGCACTCTCTTTTGTATAGCGGCTCTGTACCTTGGGACTCTGCTCAGTAACCTGTGTTACAGAACTCTGTTTCACTCCTACAGATGCAGATATATGAGGCTCATCATCCCACCGGCTACCGTGAGGCTTCCCCTTCTTTTGTTGTGCTTCATGAAAATCCAATTTTTCTTTGGTCAATCTTGGATCAGTTCGGTGCTGAGTTACCTGAACATTCATTCTCTGTGGTCCCATGTTCTGATAAGATTCATGAGTAACAAATCTGTGTGGAATTCCACGGGCTCTCCCTGCTGGGTAAAATCTTGGAAGACCCATAGATCCAGGCCTCATAAATGGTCCTGGAGGCCTCATCCCAGAAGGGTTGGGTGCTCGTGGCCTTGGAAGTGGAAAGTTTCCTCGAGGATTAAACCTGGGTCTCGACATGGCTATTTTCAAGAAAGCCTGATTTAATAAAGTGTAAGGTGGTACTGAACCATGTGAGGCAACGGCATTCAGCTGCTGAAGAGCCAACTGAGTCTTAATCTGAGCAAAGTGCAAAGGAGATGGGCCCAAAAGAAGTGGATTTGCAATGCCCAGGTTCAAGGAATTCACAAGTGGTGCGAAATTTTCCAAGAATAACACAAAGCTGAAAGTTAAAACACAAATATTAGATCATTTTAACTCAAAACTACTTCATGAAGTGGGTTCTACAGCCAGTGTAAAACATTCTGAAATAAAGCCATAAAATTGCTCTGCATTTCAAACAGAGTAGGGGTTCACGAAGATCATAAACTTCCCCCAGAACTTTCTCTTCTTTCCTTTCCTGAATCCAGAAAACACACCCCAAACCTTAAGCCAGAGTTCATGTATATTGTGTTGTAGCGGATGCTGTCCTAGGTGCTGAGCAGTAATTACAACTTCTTTTAAATAATCTTGAAATACGAGGATTTATTTCACGCTTTAATACTGGAAAAAAATATGAGTGCATTAAGATACTTTAAAATGCACACATTTTGTTAAGTATGTTACCAGACATAAAAACAATGAAAATAATAACTGTAACAAAGTTTTATAACACTCATTTCTATAAAACACATTCTTCTTTGGAATCAGAATTCACATCTAATAAATGCCATATGATAAACCACATTTATGTTCCTGTCTTTAAGTAGATGTTTCCTGTAAGATAAAAATTTATTGCCAAGTAACTTCATTAGTCTGACAAAGCAGTAGAAAAGCATAAAACTGATAATAACATATAGCATGATACGCTAACAAAGCCAGTCAGTGTCTTGAATTCTCACCACAGAAAACCTAATGGCATAATTGGTAACAACTATTAACACAGAGTACTTCATCTTCTAAGTATTTTACACATACTGTATGTGTAAAAACATACAAAAACTGTATCAGTTTTCATAACTCTGAAACAATTTTATAAAAGACATGGAGGCAAGAAGAGGTATCAGGATTTAAGTTTAAAGTAATTTGGCTCCATAATCCATGCTGTTAATCACTAACAGATACAGGAAAATCTTGTACTTTCCATTGTATTCGTTAAAGCTGATGTTGAATGGCCCAGAGAGCACTACTACCCACTCCAAATCACACTTCTCAGCGAAACAGTCCTTTAGCTATCATTCAGGCCGAGTTTAGCAGCCACACAACCTACTTTTCCTCTTCCAACTTAAAACAAGAACAATGTACTCTAACTATACTAGACCACTAAGGCCCAAAATAGTTTTGAGCTCACACCTTGCACAATCCTGTTTCTGCGCTTATACGCATTGTCTTCAACAGTCTAGCATCAGTTGAAGGTTATGTTCACTGTTAAGTTTTATGCCTTGAAAATCTAAACCATGTACCTACTCAAAAAAACCCTCAAATATTTGTTAAATTTGACCAACTACATTCAAAGTCCTCATTCTTACCACATATAAAATTTCACACTAAGATGAAACACAAACACAGTAAAAATGTATAGGCTTCAATGACTTCAAACAGCAGAAATAAACTTACTGAAATGATACGCAAATGCTCTGCAAAAAAAGTTCATTTCTAGTAAACTTCAGTTTTTTTAATATTCATAAATCATATGGAACCATGCCTAACTTCTACATAATACAATTATTTCCAATAATATTTAGTTACCCAAATCCTTAAAAAAAAAAATCACTGCTTACAAACAGATTTTTATCTAGTTATTCAAATTCTTTCTGCATTTCTCCCATTGGATAAAAATGCCTCAGAATTTCAAGAACATAAGCATTTTCAGACACAGTTCCTCTCCAAAACAAAGCAGAAAAAGAACAGATTTCACTCATGCAATTATTATGTGTAACCGTGAATAATTATCAGTAGTGAATGTCTGCATTTTAAGTTCTGGAAAGGCAAAAATTACCTAATGTGCTTTTCCTAATGTCTAGCACTGCCTTACATGATACAAGTGTGTGTTTATAGAATGCAAAGCCCTTCACAAGCTATTCTGCAGAATGCGCCTGTCCTGTAATATTGGCTTTATTTTATTTTTTGATATTTTATTTTTATTTAAAAGGCAGAATTTGAAAGAAAGAAGGAAATACACAGAGGGAGAAACTTCCACTGGCTCCCCAAACGGCTGCATTACAGTGCTGAGGCTGGTCTGAAGCCAGGAACCTCCTCTAGGCCTCCCATGTGAGTACAAGGGTCTAAGGACCTGGGCCCTCCTCCACTATCTTTCCAGGCAACCAGGGAGCTGGACAGGAAATAGAGCCTCCTAGATTGAGTCAGTGCCCATAGAGGAAGCTGGCATAACAAGGAGAATTCTAGCCTGCTACACCATGCAACAAGCTCCAAAGCTAGCTTTCTACAGCAAAGTATTCTGATCATCAAAGTTTGAAAACACTGTTCTTGGGCCTAGAACTATGGCTCAATGTCTAAATCCTTGCCTTGCAAGCACTGGGACTCCATATGTGTGCCAGTTCTTGTCCCTGCTGTTCCACTTTCCATCCAGCTCCCTGCTTATGGCCTGGGAAAGCATGAAGATGGCGGCCTTAGAAACCTGCACTCCTGTGTGAGACTTGGAAGAGGCCCCTGGCTCCAGGTTTCTGGCTTCACTGGGAAGCCCACAGTTCATATCAGAGTGCCAGAGTTCAAGACCCAGTACCACACCTAATTTCAACTTTCTGTAAAGAGTACACTGGGAGATGGCAGGTAACAGCTCAAGTATTTGGGTTCCTGACACTCATGCAGGAAGATGTGCACCGAGTTCCCACCTTAGAGCATAGGAAAAGTGAACCAGCGTAAGAAAGGTGTGTCTGTCAGCCTGCCTTTCAAAAAGAATACATTAATCACATTTCCAAATACCACAACCCACTGAAATGAAAAAGAAAACTAATCTAAGTAATTTACAAAACCACTATTCAATTTATACACCTTTAGCTTTCGTGAAGCCAAAGAGAACAGGGAACAACAAATTTCAACTCTTCTTTACAGTGGGATGAATGAAGCAATTCTGGAACTAGATTAGACATCACTGCAAGATTCAACAAGTCAATGCCTTGAAGGCATCGGGAACTGGGATCCTCACTGTGAGAGACAACACACCAAGTAAGAGAAAGTACAAACATAACAGTAACAAAGACTGATAAATCCAGGAGTAAAGCCAGACTAATGATCCTACATGGAAGAGCGAAGACTCTTATGGTATTCAGTTTCTACTTGTAAATGTGAGGAATAGCTGCAGTTAGAAAATTACTATTTTGGAACAATCACAGTAAAAATGTCTCAACGATCATGAATGGATGTGATGTCCACAAGGAAATCCTGGTGGTTCAAACATTTGAATGACCTTAAAATGTCTCTACACAGCTCCCTCTTTACAGTGCATGACCAGACAATGCTAACCTTCATAAGGCAGATGGACATAACACAACTCTGGGCATCTATCATCATTTGTGTAACCTTTCTTTTCAGGAATTAATATTCTGAATCTATTTTAGAGAAAACAATAAGAAATGAGAAAAATGAGAAACATCCTATTAAAAATAGCAAAATACATTGTAATCTTCAAAAATATCAACTTCACAAAAGGTAAGAGCAAGCTATGGAAATGTTCCAGCCTAAATAAAACCAAAAAGATATGGCAGCTAAGACAGTGCCCAATTCCAGAATAATCCTGTTGTGGGTGGGGGATAATGCTACAATGACCATCATTCAGTCAACAACAAAACTGGAAAAAAAAAAAAAAAGAATCAGATTTATGGGACCAGCGCAGTGGTACAGCACGCTAATCCCTCATAGGTGGCACTCTGAATCCTGGCAGCTCCATTTCTGGATCCAGCTCTCTGCTTACTGCCTGGGAAAGCACCAAAGGCAGGCTCAAGTCCTTCAGACCCTCTGTCCACACAGGATACCTAGAATAAGCTCTTGATTCCTGGCTTAGGATCAACTCAGTACTGGCCATCATAACCATTGGGGGAGTGAATCAGTGGATAGAAAAATCTCTCTCTCTTTCAAATAAAGTACACAAAAATAGACTGAACAGCTTTACAGGAGCTGGTGCTGATTTAGCAGGGAAAACCGCCACTGGCATGCCATTTGCCACTGGTTTGCGTCTCAGCTGCTCTATTTGCCAGTTAACACATCTAAACAAGAGTTGGAGGATGGCCCAAGTCCTTAGGCCCTAGTACACAAGGAGAAGATCTGAAAGAAGCTCCAGGCTCGTATCTGGTCCAGCTCTGGCTAAGCAGCCATTTAGAGAGTCAACCAGTGAATGGAAGATCTGTCTCTCCCATTTTCTCTCTTAACTCTGCCTTTCAAATAAATAAACCTTAAAAAAGAAAAAAATTTTATCAATGTAAAACTTACTGAAGTTGGCCACTATTGACTAGAAATAAATAAAACATATCTTTTTAGTAAATAATAAATAAAACATGTTTTTAAGAAACATACATTATTCAGTGATAAAGAACTGTAATACATGCAACTTACAAGTACTATAAAATAGTTTGGGAAAGTTTTTATTTTAGGGGTGGGGGGAGAAGGAATTACCCTGTCACCCAGCATTTACATTCATTAAATATTTATTAGTAGCCCAACATTTTAGGCCCATAGAACTTCTTAACCATAAATAGACCAGGCAAGTTAATCTGCCACCTGCAATACTGACATCACAAACAGAAGCAGATTCAAGTCCTGACTGCTGCACTTCATATCCAGCTCCCTAACGTGCCTGGGGAAGCAACAGAAGATGGCCCAAGCACCTGCAATCTGCTACCAACAAGACACCCCCAAATGAAACTCCTGACTCCAGCCTGGCCCAACCTTCGTTGCTGCAAAGATTTGGGGAGCAAGCTATCAGATGAAAATCTGTCTCTCACACTCTGTAACTGCCTTCCAAATAAATGCATTTTAAAAAGAAGGAGAAAAAAGACTATGCTCTCTGGCCTCTGCAATATAATAATAGAGCATCAGCTCCAAACACATTTTTGGATTAGGCCCTTCTAATTCTAGCTCAAGTTTCCTCCCTATTGACTATTAGTCAGTCGATTATGCAACTCATAATAATCTGATCTTTGGGAAATTTTCCACCTATCTGAAGATACCCACCCTGTTAGGAGGGGTGCCAGTGAATGACTTCATGCAAAACTTGGTTACTCCCACAAATAAATTTAACAGTATTAATTCAGTTTTATAGAAGCAGTATATCAGGGTTTCTGGAACTTTAGCCTTTAAAAATTTTTTTAAATTTTTATTTGGAAATCAGAGAAACAGAGAAAAAGTTATTCCACCTGCTGGTTCACTCCTCAAATGGCTCCCACTGACAAGAGCTTGGCTGGTTCAAAGCTTCAAGCCAGGAGCTTCTTCCCGTATGGTGCAAGAGTCCAAGCCCCTGGGAGCATCTGGGATAAGAACCAGGACCCACACGGAACAGAGATGCCACAGGCAGTTAGTTCATGGCACAGGCCTCCTTCATTCACATTTTAATTCTGGCCTTCTTGACAGCCAACAATGCAAACTGATCAACCCAAATCCCAGTCCAACATGTGAAGATGAAATTAAGCACAGAATTCATTTAACATTTTTGATAAGTAGGCCTGGCCAGTGTTTAAGATACGGCTCTGATACCCAATCTCCATTTAGCATGCCTGGATTCAAACTCTGCATCTGCTTCCAATTTCAGCTTCCTGATAAAGCATAGGAGATGATGGCTCAAGCAGACACAACCCTGTCAGTCACATGGGCAACTCAGCTTCAGCCGGCATAACCCCAGTAGTTGGGGGACTGTATAAGCAGAGAGAAAATATGTCTCTTTCAAATAAGAAAGAAATCAATGTTTTAAAAATGTCACAAGGATCAACTTAAATTCTATCTACTAACATACAACAGGTACTCAAAAAATATTAAACAAAATACTTAAAAAGGTACCTTTAAGACTTGTTAAAGACTCAGTTAATTCCTTGGGATCTGTGCAATGGCTCAACTGGCTATTCCCTTGCAAGCATCAGCATCCCATATGGGTGTCGATTTGTGTTCTGCCTGTTCCATTTCCCATTTAGCTCCCTGCTTATGGCTGGGATGGATAGTGAAGGGTGGCCAAAGCCTTGGGACCCTGTACTCAAGTAGGGTACCAGAAAGCTCCTGGCTTCAGATCAAATCAGCTGACTGTTGTGGCCATTTGGGGAATCAATCAGCAGATCAAAGATCATTCTGTTTCTCCTTTTCTTTGTAAGTTTGCCTTTCCAATAAGAATAAATAAATATTTAAAAAAAAAAAAAAAGACTTGACTGATTCCTGAAGATAACATCAGAAAAAAAATTACCCACTCAGGTTCATCTTTCTTCAGTATCTCCTAAATTGAGGACTAGCAATTAACAGAATTTTTAAATTAAATATTAACCCTGAGGAAATTTTAAAAGTTATCAAAATCCACGGAGTCAGATGCTGATAAAAAAAAGTACTACAAATATATAATAAGCAAAGTTTCCTTCAATACAATGTGGGGAACTTACAAATTGACTTAGGAGCTGTATCAGCCAATTTCTAACTATATACCTTACACAGCTTGACTCTAACAAACTGTATGGGATTTTTTTTTCTGTATGGTGCATGTCATACAACAGATAAATCTAACTACCTGAATATCTGACACTGAAGATTATCAACAATTTTTTTCTAAAGATTTTATTTTTATTAGAAAGTCAGATTTACAAAGAGAAAAATATCCATCCACTGGGCTCACTCCCCAAATGGCCATAGCAGCCAGAGTTGAGCTGATCCGAAGCCAAAAGCTTCTTCCAGGTCTCCCACATGGGTGTAGGGTCCCAAGGCTTTGGGCCATCCTTGACTGCTTTCCCAGGCCATAAGCAGGGAGCTGGATGGGAAGTGGAGCAGCCAGGACACAAACCAGCCCCCATATGGGATCCCAGTGTGCGCAAGGTGAGGATTCAGCCACCGAGTCATCATGCTGGACCTATAAACAACTTTTTTAAAGATTTATTTATTTATTGGAAAGTCATATATCAAGAGAAGGAGAAGACAGAGAGAGGAAGATTTTTAATCTGATGGTTCACTCCCCAAGCAATTCCAACGGCTGGAGCTGAGCCAATCCAAAGCCAGGAGCCTCTTTCGGGTCTCCCACGGTCTCCCACGCAGA